GCTCTTCAGTTATGCTTTTCATATTCTCTTTAATAGATTTCATCCAAATAGCAAGTTGGCCACTATTACATTTGTCAGGTTGTTCTTCAACAAAAGCTGCTCTCAAATGACCTTTGAGTTCTCTGTCTCTCCTCTCTACTCTGTTATAGGCCTCCAGTTCTACAGCAAGGCTAATTGCTTCATTCAAATTGGCAGGGCGTGACTGTTTGATTCTTATGCGGATTTCAGAATCAATCAATGCATCAATGAATTGATCCTTTGCCGGTGTCTCACGAACTTCACCTGGTGCAGTTGGATAAGCCAAGTTGGTCAATCGTCTGATGCTCTGGCCTAATTCAGAGAGTGTCTCTGTTGGTTTTTGTCTCCCCTCTTTAAGTTGTATCCGGTATAGGTCGGTTTGGTTTGGAGGAGAAAACCTTTCTCGCAGAGACCTTACAAGTGTATCATAATGTTGGCCTCTGTCAGTTGGTAAATCGCCAAGGACAGCCTGAGCTTGACCCTGTAATGATAAGGCTAGAAACAATCCTTTCTTCTCTTCATTCCAACCATTCACATTGGCACAAGCCTCAAAGTGACACTTGTAGTCCAGCCAGGAGCTTGAACCATCGTATGTAGCTGGCTTGACTGTGAGCTTTCTCTCTCTATCGTCTCTTTCCGTCTGACGATATGGGTCAGGGACATATGGATCAGGGGATGACTGTCGCGTGTGTGTCCCTTTAGCCAAGTTGTCTAATGACCAGCTGTCATACTGTTTCTCTGCAACATGGCAATCATCGGCAAATCGGACTTTTGGTCTTACTCCGTCATATGGACGTCTGGACGGTGTGTCCCTTATTTCTTTCTCTTCATCCCAATGACTCATTGTACTTTTCTTTCCTTGTGATCTGTTTTCTGAGATGATTCTCAATGTTCTGTCATAATCAAATGAGTCATCTGACCGATGAGTTGCAAGCCCACCGCACGGCTTGTCACTTGGTCATGTTCCCTAGATATAGGCGTCGACTGGTCAAGGTGATACCTCTTTAGCTTTTCTTCCATCCTATCTAATGATTCCCTTAGACTATCTTCAATTGATTTATTACGTTCAGCCATACCTCCAGTAAAATCCCACCGCTGCCACCACTTTTGTAACGTGTCGGACCTGAGCGGTCAGTAGGTCCGTGCTCGGATTACCGAGTTTTACTGGGGATATGATTGAATGCAATATATACAGATAATAATATGACACCTGCCTGGTGTCTTTAAATCAAATGACCTAAGTGCTTTGTACAATTATATATCTTCAGTTAATACCGGCACCTGCCTGGTGCCATATGACAATTGCCTCACTATACCACTGACTATACAAGTCAACAGCCACCTGCCTGGTGCCTCTTGATTTAGCCTTTAACACCTGCCTGGTGTCTTACTGCTTACCAAGTTGCCTATACAACTCTAGTAAAGTGGCTACAATATACTTACACAGTATGATTTAACTTGTAAGAGCTTCTCTGTCTTAACGACAAACCTATAGCTAACGTCACACAGCTCTATTTTAACTAGTCACTGACTACGGCAACTTTGCACAATCCGATATGATTGATGCAGCAACTGGTTTCTGTACCAAAGTGAAGACGCAAGCCAGTTGGCTGTACTGCCCCCTTGTACCTCCACTTAATCAATGATCATAAGTTTTCAGATATTATATTAGCAAAATACAACAAATTGCCTTTCTTTTGCCAACACTATTATTATTTTCTAACAGAACATCATTTATCAATAATACTTGTATAATCTTTTGTCAATTGACCAATTAATTACAATATTTACATTGATTATCTATTATAATACAAACAAGTAACGGGAGGTAACTCCTCCAACCATTTCACTTTAAAATCTTTGAAACAATGTCCACAAATACAAACTTGTTAATGAACACACAACCAAATCAAAGCAATACTTCAAACAGAAGTACGTCAAAACCAAGACGTATCCTAACTACATTAATGGTAAATGGTTTAAAAACATAACTTGAAGAAAGTTGAAGGAAATTTGAAATGAAGTTCTTTAGGAGTTGAACACAAAATTTTTACAATAAAAAAAACTCCATCAGCATGTCGATCTGACGGACAGATTGGAGTGATTCTAGACCTGATATCAAAGTTGAAGACAGATAAAGAGTTACAACAAAATAAGAATTGATATTCTAGCAAAAAAAACTCTGTTTGATTGAAAGATGAGCATAAGTATATTATTTATAGTGAATTTTGCGAGCATTTTAATAAGAAGTCAAAATTCCGACTTTTTGTTTAATCAAACAAATATGTATTTTAGTATTTTTTACATCACGTTTTAGGACAAATTTTTCTTCCTTCTTGAATCTCTTTCATCTTTTTTTCTTTCCGAAATCGCACTTACATCAGTGTTTTAAAATACTTTTTTTCTGATTTGAGGATGAAATGTACTTCTAAAAAGAAGCGTTTCATATCTTTCTTTCGATAATTTTTTTTTATTATTTAATACATTTTCACATTGATTTTCACCAAAAGATTACAAAGACATAGACGTCAGATTATAATGATAAATTATTTTCAAAATGATTTACGTGTTTATATTCTATTCTTCCGTATACATGTACTTATTTTTTCTTAATTTTAGATTATTCAGACTACCCTTTGTCTTTATTCAAGCCTATCACCGTACAGGATATCTCGGTAGAGCACTCGGTCCGTGATTGGGAGGTCGTGAGTTCGAATCTCGGCCGCGACGGACCTAAGTCAATAAAAATGGGTGGCAACTGCTCCTTCGCCATGAGCTCTGTACTTTGAAGTAAAAATTGCGGGCCGTTCTAATGAGACCTTAAAAACCGAGGCCCAGTGTCACGGCAGACGTTGGCACGAAAAAGATTCCTCACTGCTCAATGGCTCTGAGTGCCGAGTAAAGGTCAAAAGTTAAAGCCCTTCACCGGCTCTATTTGAGAGATAAATTCTCGAATGGGACATAAAACATTCAATATTCAAGCCATCTCTAATTTCTTTCACATTTGCCTTCAAAACTGTTGATGCATAAGCTTCATCAAAGTCAAGATTTAAGTGATATGTTTAATGTTCTTTATTAGTGTCTCTCTGGATTTTTTCTAGTGTTGGCAACGAGTACCCGGTTAACCGGTTAACCGTCGAACGATGCGAGTATCGGTTAGTAAAACTGCTAACTCGGATTCATCTTATATGGTAAATCTAAAAAATAAAATGTTAATTTGTTTATAAGTGTGCAAATAAACATTTCTCTAATTTTCTTTACCGTTAGACTTAATGATCTATGGTTTCACTAATACAATTGGTTTTCAACTTAGTTGATAGCTTAATTGGATTGCCAGCAGGTTATACAAGTTTTGAAGACCCAAGTTATAATTCCCTCATTAAATGATTTAGATGCCGCCAAAGACATGTATAACTTGGAAGTATTTTAAAAGAACAGCTGATTCTATACCTGTAAAATGTAATTAATGTGAATTGGAGTTATCGTGACTTCAAATTTCTTGATAATTATTCTCCTTGATCTCTGACATATATCGGGGGATTGTAAAATAGCGTGAAACATTGCATATTTATTTTTCTTCTGATTTAATTAATTTTTTGATTATAATTATATTCAAAATTAATAACTTTATAAGTTTATAAATAAAGTTAATTCACAATACCTTTGTGTTTTATTAGAACCGACAGTAAAAGATGAGATGAACCGGGTACTCGATCGGAAGAGTATGCGAGTAACCGGTTACTAAAAATCGTCCGATTTGCCAACACTAATTTTTTCAATTAATGAACAACATAGAGAAAACGAAGAGTATTCAATATCAAGTCAATAAAACAATAGAAAATGGGAGCAAAGCAAACACGAACCTCCAAAACATCAGAGGTGGGATCAGGTGCCATGGAGGAGTGAGCATCCCCTGCTGACCGGTCACACACCCCGTGTGCTCCTTGATCGGAAAATAACGGGAAAATCCGACATCAATTCAGTGTACAAATTATGGACTAGCAATAAGTATTGAAAATGTCAGTCAGCATTTGACTCAACGATGAATTCTATTTGCTGACAACGTCATTCTATCGACCAAAGAACTTACGAAATGATGACTTTAAACGAGACTGCTGATATTCTTGTTTCAATGAATTGTTGATTAATAATTTACCTCGTTTTAGAAATTGTTCATACGTAGAGCATGCTCTTGCGTATCGAACCAACTGAGATATATAAACGTCTTATGTACATTGTAGGTGATGAAGGTATATTGCTGCCCAAGTAAGGGAAGTTGACGATAGAAAAGTTATAGTTATCACGTTTATTATAGAGGTCTGTTGTTAGATTACTATTAACGTCTTTTCAAGTAAAATATCCAAGTTTGAAAAAGATGTGTCAGACCTCTTGGTATCTTTCATCTCAAGCTCACCAGGATATATCGTATCGACATGGGAATGGAAATACCCATTGTTAATTGACAATACGTCGATATATCTAAATGTTGAGATAGGCCACAGCAAGTGTTTTCTTCTTTTCATGCATAAGATTTGGCACAAATTCTTCTTCATATGAATACAAAAATAGGTCTGCTTATAACGGAGGCCAATTAGTACCCACTGAGATTCCAATAGATTGTTGGAAGACCTGGCCCCCAAAAACCACATAGATTTTGTCAATCAGAAACTCAAGCATCTTTTTGGTGTCAACTTCAGTGCACTTGGGTGTGCAATTAGAATGTGTTTTATCAAAATAATTTTGCAAATGACCAATGACCAAGGACGTTAATTTACGAGTGCCATTTTTATTGAAAAAGTAGCTGTCAATGATATCAAAAAGCCTAGACTTTAATGTATCGTGGGGAATGGTTGTGTAAAAAGTTGAAAAGTTCGATTTTAAGTTTTTTAACAATGATTCATTTATCTGCTCATGATGAACATCTATTTAGAGTTGATAATAAGAAATTATTATGTTTGTTTTACATTGGTGGTATATAATAGGTTAATGGAGACTATGAAGTGTCTGTAAAGTTATTGGAGTACAACAGAGACCCGGCCGATTGCTGTGATAGACCACTATTCTTTGGGTGTGACGAGTGTGACGTTTATTTCCAGATCTGCTTGAAACCATTACAACCAATACAATAGTAAAGAATTCTCTCTCTCTCTCTCTCTCTCTCTCTCTCTCTCTCTCTCTCTCTCTCTCTCTAGCAGACTGGATTTGCTTAATCTTTTTATTATACGATGATAGTACAGGCATGAATAATTGAAAGAGTAAATGTCGATACAAACTACAAATAACGATTCTGGTAGATAAAAGAATCTTCTTATGGTTCAAAGTTCTTGATCCGATTTCTTCTTGTAATTATTTCAGTCAAAAGTGCTATGGGAAAAATGAAAACCAGCGAGTTACCGAAACAAATAACTTTTTATTCGCCGATAAACTAAACTCCGCTGATTCCTACTCCTGGAAAGACATCAGAGGGCAGGTAAATATACGTACATCAAAACTGTAGATCATACAATGTATTAAGCAGTCAGTTATTTAATGCTTTTTTGATCTTTTTGTTCATAGCCGTCGTTTGATATTTCTGTTCATGCCTTTGACTTGGACATCACGGGATCTGAGGATCTTGGGGTAACAACATACGAGGAGTATAGAGGTAACACAACTGACACAACTAAGAAAATGACTGTCACAACAGCACCTGGGAGAAACAATTTACGGTAAGAGGAAATGGATTGATTCCTTCCTATTGATAAAAGCATGCAAAATGTTACTCAGTCATTTGTTCAAGAGAAAGTAATGAATAGTTCATAGATAAATAAAATTCAAATACTGTAGACCCTTTTCCTATGACATATTTTGCCTAGGAGTTATTCCCCTTAGCCGCCATCTTGTAGGGCAGAGTAGTGAATTTACCTCTTTGAGCAACCAATTTTAGATATGCATGCAAGAAATATATGTGGGAAAATATTTACAATTTTAAAATTATGAATTAATAGAAGCCTTGACAAACATATATTCATAAGAAAAATAGTGTTATCTTTACCTCATTAACCAATATAACAAATTGAACTTCGTTGAATAATGAAGGGATCTGGATATGTTGTCCTACAATATGGCGGCTAAGGGGAACAACTCCTAGACAAAATAAGTCATAGGAAAAGGGTCTATTGTTATACATGTATAAGTAGGACACTGGATTGAAGAAAATCATTATCTATCTAAATACGTATAAATCAGGTTTAAATTCTTTTTTTTCTCCAAAAGGATAAAGTTAATCCTGGATGTTTCAAGTGGACAAGAAAGTGTGAATACTCCAATAGAGAAATGGCTACATTTAGTTTTTGCTGTGTCCGCTGCCTCGTTGTTTTGTCTTTAGACAGTAAATACATCTCCTGCATGGGTTTGACAAATACAAGGCTTTTTATGAATTTATTTGATTTTGAACCATTCAGTTTTTTAATGCTTAATCAACTATTTCTGTATCATATGATCTTGTCAAGTATGAAGATTTCTGTGCTTTTCCTTTTTAATAAACGATAGAATACTCTACAACTATACCTACAACGTGTAACACTAAACCAAATCAAAACAATACTTCAAACAGAAGTACGTCAAAACCTGGACGTACCCATAACCTTAAGAGTAAAATGGCTTAGGACATAACTTGAATAACTTGACAAATTCTGAAGGAAATTTGAAATGAAGTTGTTTAGGAGTTGAACACAAACTTTTCACGATAAAAACTCTATCAGCATGTCGATCTGACTGACAGACAGGAGTAGTTCTAGACCTGATATCAACGTTGAAGACAGATAATAAGTTCAAACAAAATATTAATATTCTAGCAAAAAAAACACTTTTATTTTAAAAAGAAGAGAGCATAAGTACAACACTTGCAGTGAGTTTTCCGAATATTTTAATAAAAAGTCAAATTTCTGAGTTTTTGTTTAATCAAACACAGATTTATGGTTTACTTTCTCTGTATTTTTAGTACTGTTTTTCACATCACGTTTTAGGACAATTTTCTTCATTCTTTTATCTCCTCCATCTTGTTTCCTTTTCAAAATCGCACTTATATATAAGTTTTTAAAGTATTTTTTTCTGATTTGAGGATGTAACGTATATTACAAACATTCCTTCTGCGTTTCACATTTTTCTTTTGATCATCTTTTTTTATCATTTAATACATCTTCACAGTTATTTTAATCCAAGATTAGAAGGACACCGACGAAGATTAAAAAGATAAATAATTTTCAAAATGATTTACGTGTTTGTAATTTATACTTCCGTATGATTATTATTTTCTTAATGTTAGATTATTCTGACTACCCTTTATCTTTATTTAAGCCATTCTCTCTTTTCTGTCGTATTGTCTTGCACGATTGGACCAACACTAGACCTGAAAACAAGCAGAGCATGCTTTTGCGTATCCAATAAGTTGATAAACGTATCTCCTCTCTCTATATGCAAGGTGAAAGTTTTTCAAAAGATGTAGTAGTAAAATAAAAACTTTATGTGTTAGACGTAATTATAGAACAAAAAGGTCAAATTAATTGCTCCTTAGTGCTAATCTTTTGCCCCTTTTTGTTTTGATTTTGTATTAAGCTATGTGTAGATTCTAAAAATTTACTTAACAGTAATTTCTCAATACTTTTGATGACAGGAGCCAATCTTCTTAAAATCAGATCTTTGCTACGCTCCGAAATTCTAGATCTCACTTTTTACAGCGACCCTCAGAATTTCAGAACGTAACAGATATCTTATTTTAATCAGACTGACACACGTGATGGCTTCAAGAACCTCTTTCTGACAACATCAATAATTGCAAACACAAGCATGTATTCATAGTTTAAGAATCTAAGTCTGGACACTTAAGCTTTTTCAGAAGAAGGATATGGAGATAACGAAATGTATTCAATCTCAAAGTCCATTATTCAAAACAAAATAGAAGGAGAGCAAACACGAAACTCCGAAACATCAGATGGCTCATTCAAAAATTTCAAGGAAACTGAGCAAAAGACGTGATGTGATGAAAATCTTATTGTTCATCGACTTTAGACAAAACCTCATCAAAAGAGACATGTATGTTTGGTCTACCGTATATAATCGATGTCATTTACTACGCCTACTTCTATGTGTATTGTTTTAAAAAAATCAACACATTGGGGGTTTGAAAGATTACATTATGCAATCAGTCGTTGCAACCATACAGCAAAAGCAATGCCGTTAACATTTTGACAAATTTCCCATGATCGTAATCTTACTGAACACTGGCTCTCAGTAAGAAATATAAAAGATGTAACCCCAATCTTGATATATGACTTTTTGATTTATAATGCAATAAAATAGTAAAGAATGAAATATACAAATATTTATAATATATTCAGTATTGTAAAATCCACACATTAGTGCTTGAAAATATATGGTTACTTCATTGGCATAAAAAAATTTGCAACTGAATATGATTGTTGTATCTCCAGGATAAGCAGATACGCAAGATCTTGTTAGATATTGAAAATATTCTATGATTTAAACAAAATGAAAGTTCTGAGGTTGACACAAGTAATACATGTTTTTATTATCTATTTTTATTTGTATTCCTTCTTTCGCGCTTTTACAGTCTTTTGGTACCTCACCATAGGTATATTCCTATATTTTTTAATTTGGTCTTTCGTTTCGTTCAAAAGCGGATAGGTGTCAGTTTTTAAGTATTTTTCTGATTTACTTCCTCCGAAATTTGACTTCTTTCCATGAGACCGTTTTTTTCTTAATTTATCTTCTTCCATCTTGATTTCGTTTTCAAGATTACCTGAATATGAGTTAAGTATTTTGTTCTATTTTGTTTTCCTATCTTTCTTTCTTTTTTTTATTATTAATTTATATTATCTTCTTCTATAGCCAATATCCCATCTCTTCTTTCGCAATTTGGATGGACTACAGACTTAGAAAATTATTGAGTGAATGATTCTATGATAATTTTATCTTTAAGGTAGGATTCTTCTCTGGTTTCTGACTAGATGGAATATTCAAAGTTTATTTGTTGATATGTCTTATATATTTAGATATAAGAGATTTAAAAGACCATATTTTTCTTTCCTCATCACAATTATATAACTTTAAATAGAAATGGTAAACTGCGTTTGAAAACTAACAGGGACTATATTTTTGGCGGAATGGTGGCATATGAAAATATCTAAATATCTAAAATATCTACTTTTCTGCCTCTCAAAATTATTATAGAAAATTGAATTTAATTATAATTTTTACGCAATCAAAGACTAGACGAAATTTTCAAATGTAAGTTAAATTAAAATTAATAAAAAGAGACTAAAGTTTCAAAATATATCAAATAAATAAGATTTTTCACACATAATAGAACTATGTTCCCTTTTAAAGACTTCAAATCTAAGTACAGATTTGAGCCAAAAATCCATAAAATGTTATTTCTCTCTAAGTAATCGATCAAAACTTTTAGTTTTTGTATCATTTTGTACCTTTATGTGACAACTTTACTATATGTGAAAACTGGAAAAAGTTAAATATAGGAAGCATATAAAAATGACTAATAAATCCTAAAAATTTAAGAAAAGTAGAGGAAATTCGGATTAGCAAATATCCATTTTATTTAAATGATCCATGTCAATTTAGTAATATCACCTTATAGGTCCTATATGGTAGTATCTTTTTATGCAAAAGAAAAACATTCAATCTTTTGAATTACAAGTAGGGATCGCATGATTGGAAACAATATTTTTTATTCTTAATGTCTAGGAAAAAGGTAATGACCTTGACCTGACCTTGCCTCTAATATCAATCGGTCAAATTTAATCTCACTGATACCATCACTTAGTGATATTGTCCTCTTGATTCTGTGAAAATTTCATTAATTTTTAAATACAAGAAATGTGAGAAGAATCCAACCTTAAATATGTTCGACTGTTCACGGTAGCTATAAGTCTATAGATATCTTGCTCTTTAACGGTAGGTCATGAGTTCGAATCTCCGACGAAACTGACCTGAATCGATAAAAAAAAATGGGTAACTACTGTTCCTTTGCCATGTGCTTAGCACTTGAAGTAAAATTGCGGGCCCTTCGGATGAAACCTTATAAACCGAGGTCCTGTATCATGACAGATGTTGGCACGATAAAGAACCCTCACTGCCCAATGGTCCTGGGTGTCGAGTAAAGGTCAAAATTTGAAGCCATTCATTGATATATGGTGACATCTCTACATGAATGGGGGTTTGTTCATGTTTGATATGAGTGTGCAAATAATTTATAAAGAGGACCAACACGTCAGACATGATATGAGACTTGTCTATGGTTGCTTTGAATAATCAGAGTATGAGAAAACTTGCACTGAAATCCCCTCCCAACTTGATAGTTTTTTAAATAGTTAAACTTTTGAGCTTCAATTCAAAACAATACACGATAATTGACATGGGAAAATCAGTATAAATATTTCGTGCGCACATAATAAACAATCTTATAACGTTGTTGTGAAATAATAAAAATACTAATGTATATGGAAATCTTATTTACATCAAAAAGCACTTTTCGTAAATTGTACTATGTCACATGTATGCAGGACTACATAGAATTAATACAATAACACGGATTTTATTTAAAATGCTTTTTTTAGCTTTCAAGAATGAAGTGTACAATTCGATAAGTGAACCTTTTATACTGTATGATTTGTTTTCTTGAATAGTGTTTTGTTTTTCCTTCAAAACAATTTATCATTTAAGTCAAGCATTCGTACATTTTATTTATTTATTTGCATTTGTCAATTTATTTCCACGTTGTTTGCATCCACAGAAATAATTTTAGTAATAAAGTTTTACTTAAACTATCTCTAGACTACGAAAGCCCAGAAGGCTCATTCGAGATTCAAGGTTCGAAATACGAGATTCGAAATTCGAGATTCGAAATTCAAGTTAACCAATCAGAAGCGGATTCAAGATTTGATTACTTCCCTTTATTATGATTTTAACCAATCGTTTAATATATAAATAACAAAAGGCTCATTTAATAAAATTACAATGCAAGAAGGAGTGTTATTTATATAAGATTTAAATTCGAATAATCAGATTTCAAGATCCAAGATTAACCAATATATTAAGCGGGTTAAATATTTGATTACTATCGGGAATATATATATTATGATTTTACTATCAAGGAATAAAGTTTAATATATAAATAACAAATAAGTCATTTAATAAAATTACAATGCAAGAAGAAAAAGTGTTATTTATATAAGATTTAAATTTAAATAATCATTGGATTTTTGATCAGCAAGATATACTTCAATTTATATTATAGCTTTTTAAATATTAAATAGAATACATATATCGGGAATATATATATTTTTGTATTGTCTACTTTGTTAACGGGGTTGATGACATATAAATAAAGTTATGAATACGTGGCAAGTGTCTAAAGGTTAACAATAACCCCACCCCGCAATGCCCATTTTTCCCAACACACTGAAAGGCTTGAAACTTGAAAGACGACGTAGTATTGATAAAAGAAAAATCGCGTTCGTTTTCCTGCAAATTTAGAGATATAATACATAAAGAATTAAGTATTTAATTACTTATCTTCATCTAAAAAGGCTTTGATTTCATTTTTGAATTAATTAAAAATTATATCTACAATACAGCTTGGCGATATGAATTAAAATAAATGCGGCATTTATTTTATCTTATATCAAATAGTAGATGAGTCTAAATAAGATGCAGAACTATATAGCGTTGTGGTGTTATATTTTAGTCTCTGGCCATAGCTTTATGGCCATTTATATACTAAAATATTTTTTACTCAATTATAAAACCTTATATAACGCTATAGTTCGATTCAGCAGTCAAGTCTCACTGCACAAATATACCCTTTATAAATGTAATGAAATATATACCCTTAAATTATTGTGCATTGTGTAGATAAGGATAATTTTTACCCTAATCTTATGTATAATATTTCATATCTAATTATAATTAAATGCAACATTCTCCATCAGCAATGATCTGATG